TTGAGTTACTTCGTTTAAAACATTTATTCACAACAAATTTGTTTCGTATGGCAAGCTAGGCTTGCCACACTCATCAGGTGAATGGTGATATCGCGTATTCACCTGATGAGTGTGGCAAGTATTCACCTGATGAGTGTGGCAATGATTCCATTCACCTGATGAGGGTGGCAAGCCTAGCTTGCCATACGAAACAAATTTGTTGTGAATAAATGTTTTAAACGAAGTAACTCAAGCTCGTCTTTTATTTGCTCTACTTTTGTATCGAGCACTCTATTCTTATGATTCGACACTCAATATACTTATTGACATTCGCCTATATATATATATATATATATTATATATATATATATATATATATATATATATATATATATATATATATATATATATATATATATATATATATATATATATAATATTGATTGCATAAGATGTTTTTCGGTAGTCATATGGAACAAAACATATCGCTTGCCTTTCATTGTATTCGCTTTCTAAGATTTATGACGACGAAACAAACAAGCCAAATGAATTGATCATGTAGTATTCACTGGACGTTTGCCAAGCACAGGTCTGTCAAGATTTTATCTAAACGTTTCTTCCATTTTACGTTTTCAAATTTCCATTCCTAACCAAGTGGCTTCTAAGTGTGAGGTGTAAAATTTAACTACTACTTCGAAGAAACTTTGACAAAAGCAATTTATAGAACTGCCCGTCTTCGTGCTTAAACTTCGTGAGTTGTTCATCAAAATTCTGATGTTCTTTTTTGTAAACCTTTCCTTATAGCGATTTAAGTGACAAAATAGATTCTTCGATTAGTCATCGCTAAGAGAAAGCATCCTATTGCTAGCCAAAATTTTTTAAAACTTGTCCTACGTTTAGTCTTACTACTGGCATATACTCTTGGTGTGAGCGAAATCGAAGACCGAAATGTATTGGGTACGACGTGCTTGAAAAAATTGACGTGGGAAAATTTGAAGTTACCGGTGTTAAGTTTTATTATCAACAGTTATGTTTAAATACCTGGATCATCTGATAGTGTGCTTTTAATCGCAGAAGAAAAAAAATGAGAATTTGAGGTCAAGGATGGTGCCGGTTTGGTGGACGATGGCGTGCTCGACGTTTGAAAGGTAAAAAACGACGTTTTCAAAGAAGAGGAGACAACATTTTCAACCAAAGATGGCGGCATCATTGTCATCTTACTGGATAAAACGGATGGTGCCTGCTGTACATCACCTAAAAGTATATATTGATTGCATATTGGTGGTTACATGGAACAAAAACTATTAGAGTTCTGAAATTCGTTTAATTAATGTTGAACTAAATTCTGCGATTGCTCGTATGAATCTAAGTATTATTATAGATGATACTTGAGCTGAAACATACATATGTGGACAAAAAATTCAGATATGAATTATTATGTAAGAAAATGATTTGTTTCGAACATTAAGTAAGATATTGGTAAGTTAATTTTGAATTTGCTGACCATGAATTTAAATGTGCTCTTCCCGTGTGCATGTTAATATCCTGTATTTTTTTGAAAACACAAAATATCTTATTCTCATGATGTTTTAAAAATACACTTTCAAGTTGTTCATATTGATATTCAGAAATGTTGAAAATACCTGAATTGCCATTGTGATTGTTTCCTGTTTTGTTTTCCTTCTTTGTCTATATGAAAATTAGTTACAGAAATGCGGAAGTAGCTAAAAGGTATTGGGTCATTATAAAGAAAAGTATTTTGTAAAATTAAATAAGCTAAGCTAAAAATAGCTTTTCAAGTTACATTATCTAAATGCAATTAATCTATGACAACCGAAAGTAAAAATAGTTTAATCAACTTCTTGTGAAAATTATTTGCTTTCACTGTGGTCTAACTATATTCATTCAGTAACATTGTGTAGTGATTCTTGAAAATTTTGCGTGAAATTAATCTTAAAGATGCTGTAAACTCCGTAATGTATAAACAAACGCTTTGTTTATATTTTGAACTGCTATACTATAAACCGAATATCTAACACTTCTCGGGTTTGCTATGCTTGTAAATGAATATAAACTCTTGTTTGAATTCAAACAGTTTCGAAAGATGCAAAATTTGGGCAATGTTTATAACTGCGGGTCCCCATTTGTTATGAGCAAAACTGATGCGCAGAACGCCAGATTTTAAATGACGATGGTTCTCGAATTCTACATTGTACGCCGATAAACTCTCTTTTCTTTAATCTTTATTAAATGGACAATGGTGTTTTACTGGAAACTAAAGCACTCGTAGAACTCATATGCTAATACATCCGGGACCAGATGCTCGTATTTTCCGTATTTCACGCGACATACGAACTATACGAATGGTCTTTGGTTCATATATAAAACGAAATTAACGTGGGAAATAAAACGAAAACATTTAAAAGACATCTCGATATAAGTATAAAATTTATTCTAGTTCAATGTTTGCAACTACAGTATAATTTTAAAAAAATATCACTTTTATACTGGTCTTTCGCGCGCTTATTTACATGTCGTCTTTGCGTGTACTTATGTCACTTTGAATAAGTCCTTACACTGTAACGGTGATTACATACATCTTTTAATAGTTATATGATAATGCTCGTGTTAGGTTCTCCTTTTCTTTTCTGATTCTTAAGCTTCTGGACTACAGGTAACTCTCCATTGGCTTCGGGCTTGAGTTTCGACATTCAATAACCGTCTTGCGTTATTCGTCCACATATTGGCATCTCGTTCGGCTTCTTCTGCAAAGACGTCAATTGTGCCGGCTCGGCACGAGTATGATCTAAAACATAGATAAAAGACACTTCTTCCATCCAAGAACTGGTCAGAATACGTTAGGTAGCGCTAAAACATAGAAATTCAACCGCTTGAGTTGGGGAGATGCCTTCGAATGCTGATATTCACTTACCGGAACCTTAAATACCCACGTAATAATTGCTTAAGCCTCTTCCATTATTCCTTTACAATGCCATACATGCAGGCATTCAAACATTACGTACCTCCACAAAATACATTTACACTCCGATTTCCATCGCCCGTGACGTTTAAACAGGCAATGTCTAATGCCAGCGTTCGCTGCGGTCGTCGCGCCACCACTCCTTAGACTGTGAAGCCCAATGTTCTTTACTGGATAACCGAGAGAAGAAAAAGCTGCAAGTGCTATCTCTCTGGCGCGAGAATAAGAAAGCCCTATAGAACATAACACATACTTCTTTTTGGATGTACAAAAATAAACAGCTCTAAACAGTGGTGCTGTAGAACTCATTTCTATTCTTGCTATATTAATATATCGAGACAGAATCGATCAATCAATCAATCAAAAACTTTATTTTAACACGGTGAAATCTACAGTATAACATTTTACAAGATAATTAACTAACATATAATTACAAATTACGCTATGACAATTAATATACACTTTAAACATATCCAAACACTAAAATACTGATTTACAATTAAGATTGCCGTGCGGGAGTCCATCTCATATAGAGAACAAATTGTCAATTGCTTTTTTGAATTGACTTAGGGAACATGTTGTTCGTACATTTTGTGGTAACTCGTTCCATAAAACTGCCCCGCTATAACTGAAACTTCGCTTACCGTAGTTGGTTCTTGGTTTTGCTACAAATAAGGTGTGTTCAGAGTTTCTTAAGTTATATTGTGTGCTGCGAGATTCAAACAATTCACGGAGATAAAACGGAGTTAGATCGTTAATTGTTTTAAACATTAGTATAGCCTTATGCTTTTTCCGACGTGTTAAAAGATTATCCCAGCCCAGCTTATTAAAAAGGTCGCTGGAGCTAGCACCATATTGAGATTTAGTGATGACTCTCGCTGCCCTATTTTGCAATTTTTGCAATTTGTCATTTAACGTGACATTCAAACCATCCCAAACTGAGCTACAATAATCAAAGTGCGGTTGAATTAGTGCACCATAAATTTTCAGAGCAGTGTTTGTATCTACAAATTGGCGTATCCGTTTAAGAGCTCCAATAGCTGATGCAATCTTTTTGGAAATATTTTCGACATGTCGTGCCCATGTAAGATGCTCATCGATTTGCAAGCCTAAGGATTTCGTTTCGTTGACTCTCTTAATTAACTTTCCGTCGATCTCTATCCTTATGTGTTCGTTATCATGTACTAGTAATCTTTGACGAGATCCTCTTATCATGAATTTCATTTTAGCTACGTTAAGACTCAGTCTATTAGTTAGTAGCCATTGATGAAGATTTTTCAATTCAGAGTTTAATATTTGCTCAAGCTCTGTGACGGAATTTGCTGCGATGCTAATATTAGTGTCGTCAGCAAACATTCTTGGAGAGCCTCTGTCGAGACAATTAGGCAAATCATTTATGTACAGTATATTAAAAACAATAGAGGTCCCAAGTTACTGCCTTGTGGTACCCCACAGGTTATTTTAGCAGTTTCAGATAACTTACCATTGACGCAACATCTTTGACTGCGGTTGCTTATAGGTATGATTCGAAGAATTTGATACCATTTTCATCAACGCCATAAATTCGTAACTTCCGTAAAAGAATGGTGTGATCAATAGTATCAAATGTTTTTTTAAGATCGATAAAAATTACTCCGTTAAGAAGGCCTTTATCTATATTTATTGACCAATTATCCGTGGCTTCTATTAGGGCAGTTAGTGTACTGTGCAATGATCGAAATCCAGATTGGGACGTAGATATTAGATTGTTGTTATTCAGATATACTCATACAACTGCTCAAAAGTAAACTTTTCAAAAATCTTTGCTACTACAGAAATAACAGATATTGGTCGATAGTTGTTCATGTCGTCTTTTTTACCTTTCTTAAAAATTGGAGTAACTCTCGCTAGCTTCCAGTCTGTAGGAAAGATGCTTGTACTTATAGTCTTATTAAATATTTGAGTTAAAGATGGGGCAACTATTTCAGCTGAAATTCTTAAAAGTTTGCAAGGTATTTTATCAAGACCAGCTGCTTTCCTTTCGTTAATTGCTTTTAATTTTTTATAAACTGCATAATATACAGCGAGGGATTTCATTGAAAATGTGGTTTCAGGCACAACATATACGTCAGGTCCTACTGTAGAGAGTGGTATATCGGATGCTAAATTTTCACCCACACTAGCAAAATGAGAATTAAATGTCTCCGCTATTTGCTTGGGTGTATATATAGTTTCTTCACCTACTTTGATATTGGATATAGTTTTGTGGCTAGAGGCATTACGAGAGTTTAATTCGTTAATAAGTTTCCAGGTTGATTTTGGATTTTTCTTATTAGCCTCAAAGTTAACCTTAAAATATTGACTTTTTGCACCTTTAATTTCATTATTCGTGCTATTTTGTGAATGTTTATATTGTTGCCAAATTAATGGGTCACCGGTCTGCTTAGCTTTCTTTTTCAGAAAATCTCTCTTACGCATTTTT